AGGCTAACAGCTCCTGGGTACGCGTAGCTCCCGAATGTGCGCTATTAATGACAGTATGGGGTTGGTTACCCAGAAACCATACGTTTCTGTTATACAGGGTTTTCAATGGGATAGGTAAGGGTTAGGGTGGTTAGGGGGTATGGTGCCCAGCGTCAGTGGATGGATTCTCAGTAGCCCCTAAGTGCTACACATGAAGCCGCGTCTACTCTGTTTTGGACTAAGACACAGGAAGTTCATCGCGTAGTCCGGCCCTTTCGTCCTCTCAACAAGCCATCTAAGGAGTAAGCAACATCCTTCGACCCCTTTACCGTCAAGGAGATGTTAGCGATTCGTGCCAGCTCTACTTAGATGATCTGTGTCTAAGTCGAAAGCCGCAAGGCAGACAACCAAGGATAAGTTACCGTACCAAGTAAACTAGATTCCAGTTCACGGGTAGCCTTCACTAGAGACCGATACTCTTTCCCCAAAGAGTACAACAACTACAGCAAGCCTCAAGTGATCCGTCTCTAAATATATCTGTTTCTCAGTGTCAACTCAAGACAAAGCACTTTTCAAACAATCCTAACCAGTTCAATTATACGAAACACCACCAGCTCTATCTCTTCTCGAATTCACCCCTCATCATATATCAAAATAATGCCTCAATCGCTCAGGAGGCGAAGAACTCCAAGGAACTTTAACGCTAGTATCACTAACTTGAGTCAGGTATGAATCGCCTCCTATCGATCCCGAGTTTTTATCGATACAGTCGAAGACTGATATATTAGCCGTACGTCCATATTCCAATAGGGGTGTGAGAAACGAACTCTTAGACAAAACAATACATGATTTCCATCGTTCCCTCATCCCGAGCCTTTTAGAAACCAACATCTTGATATACAAGAATAGCAGAATCACCACCTTTATAGCATTGAGCCACTCCTATATTAGTTACTCTTCGTCCCTCAACCGCGCTTACGTTAGGCTGACTTGGATTGACACGCATAATATAACTACAAGGTTGAAACCCATAACATGCTATCAGCTACAAAACTGAATCTTTAGGACTTCATTAATATTCACAACTATTTATTTCCATCTTTGCCTATGTCTTGTTACTGCCTTATCCCCTTTTATAGATACTATATCAACTGACCGATCAATACTGTCATGTTAACGACGCTATTCATAGCTTTCCTAGATTAAATACGACCCCTGCTTTTTAACCTACGATCACTATAACGACTCATACAAGCTATCAATCAATACGGGGAATCAATATGGGGACATGAGCAATAATTGGGAACGTGGCTGGGTCAAAGTATAAAGGTTATAAACTTAGCTAACATCGGACTACGTATAACTGCCTATGCACTTTTATCTCAGACATTTCAGCGGACCACGGACCTAGCACTGACCTCAACTCTTACCGAATAGGGGCGTGTCCGCTAGAGACATTGCGGGGCAAGTGATAGTGATGGTATGCGGATGAAAGGTTTTATTAGAGCTCTATTTGGTACACACCTTTTAACCTTCCCCAAACGCGATAGGATATATGGCCATTATATGCCCTAGGTTAGGTCGTTGCTATATACCCTGAGTTAGTCGTACAAAAACACCAGAGTATACTAGCCCTAGTCCCAAATCTTCTGCAGAAATTGAGTGACTAGTTATCAAGACTTGGCTGTTCCAGATTCTTAATCTAGGTAAAATCGCTCAGATACCTATGATACTCTCTGAACCTTCATAGCTCTCTTAGCCTTGGAAAGAGGAAGTATGTATTAGCTGGATAAGTATCAATAGACTCTATGTACGGATGTCCCTTTCAAAAGTTTTTACCATAGGAAGACCCTTGTCACCCCCGGCAAGCTTTGACCAAGCTTGGCAACAGCTGCTTATCTTTTTAACATATGTATCTTATTTTACTCTATTATTTCAATAAAATATAACTTTCTTAAACTGGATTCTAAAATTCCCCAAAGAGGTAAATTATGAATATAAAAGACTTCTTTTTTATATAATATTTTTTATTCTATTTTAAAATTATATTTGGATGTAGAATCTAGTAGTAAACCTTAGGAGTAATAATGTATACATCCTTAAATCACCCGACAGTTGCTGGCCAAGTATCAGACAGCTGGTGACAATCTTGACAGGGGTTCCCTATGGTAAAAACTTTTGAAAGGGACATCCGTACGCAGTGCCTCTATTTGCCTGCTTTATAGAAGCTCTAAGGGGGGTGTACTATGCATTATATAAGGAATGCCGTGCAGCACTAAACATCTATGAGTTCAAGCTTAAGGATGGTCAAGAGCGTAATGAAGTTCCTAGCACGCATAATCAGCAATGATGTTGGATCCCTATACCACTGGCACATCTGAGATAAAGAGATTTCGATTATATGACTAGCATAGTCTTTGAACTTCTTAGTCTATTAATATATGTACTTTAGCGGGTTTGTATCTTAACTTCTTATTGGCAAAGATGGTGAATGTTCAATCTAGATTAGGAACATTGACTACATGTAGTTTTATATAGGCTAGATTAGTACCGGTGGAAGGGCAATCAACGCCTGAAAATTATGTAAACCTTGTAATAACTTCTATTAGGATTATAGATGGGGCATCTAAGACAATACTTTCATTATATATAGCTCAAGCCTCTATGGTTAGGTATGTGAAACTGCTTCCGTGCTTCTTGCTCGACCTATAATATAGGCTTCTGGCCGGCACTATACACGATCTGGAATTTCAACGGTAAAATACAGCAAAGACACGTAACCCTAAAGGAAAGAGTATAGGAATATATTGGGCCTGCGTGGTTAACATGGTATATCTCGAAGCGGATTCCCTATTGCCTGAGCTACTTAACTTTATCCACAAACTGCACTTACCTAGCTCTATACCCATGACCTATATGAGAGGCTTAAGGAGGACAGGCCGTTGCCCCTTACGCCGTCGAGGAATTTACGTATCTGCAACCTAACTCTATATAATCTTATATGCGATTTAACTAAACCAACTCCTCGCATCTAGGGGCTAAGTTCATGCCATGGGTCATCTCAGTATCACTACCAGTGATTATGCTTGGAGTAGGTACCCAACAGTTACTGGTGTTAGACCTAGAATATCGGGCTATATAGGGCGAATAACTCATAACTGTGCTAATGGTCTAGTCTAAATGAATTTATAGATATTTGTGTAGTTGAGTGAGTCGCTTCCCCGTTGTGATCATCTGTACATCCGCGTTAGAGGATCAGAAGAACTCTTATACATCGATGATGATATTGGAAGTCTTGAGATCATATGCGTGAAATACATAGACTTCTTTATATTTCTAGTATTATTGAATGTTTTATACACAATTATTTATACTCTACAATTAGGGCTTCCTTAGATTCTAGCAATGAAAATAAAGTCCCAGGTTCTACATAGTAATGAAACGTGATTCGTAGCTTGGCAGAATGATTGAGACTTAAGAATAGATCGCATCTAACCTAATAAATAGGATGGTACTGTCTCATTCGAAAGAAGCCTAGTACTTTACTACCTATCATGCATGCATTAATAAATTCAACGAAGTCTTGAAGTTCTTATAAAGACTAGAAGTAGGAGAATGTCATTACGTGATAGTGTATATCTGTTCAACAGAGGCCTACCGTGTATACACGCAAGTATAAGCACATATCAACACCTATCCTTCAATACCCGATATTAGCCATGATGGAAGCAGCTTCTTAAACGTATCGTGAAAAAGAGATGACCTCTCACGAGTTCTCAAACTCCATTTTGGGAAATCCGATATCTCCGTTGCTTCCCTGTGATCCCTCGTAAGGCCTCTCCGGACAATCCCGTTAGCGGCTTGGCCCACCCAATCGCAGTCTGTCTAACCTCCCGAACTCAGTGCCTTCTCGCCGTGATGCCCCGGGGGACCGGGTGTCTTGCTGTTGATTTAAAGTCAAAAGGAGCCGCATCGCGCTTCTCCACACCCTTCTCGTCAATATCAGATTGTCGTCGGTTAGTCCTGAGCCTCAGAACGATGCTCGAACGACTCCGAGCCCACACGACCGTTTGCCACCCGCTCGCCCGCCCACCGCGTGGAGCCGAGGATGTACATACATGAGGTACCCAGCACCAGCTTACCAATGTCTAAACAGAATCGGATCATTTCCCTCTGGGCCTCGGATATAAGATAGCAAAAGGCCGTTTTTTTTATGCTTATGCTTGGCTAATTCGTCGCCCAATTGTGCACCCCACGTGCGAAGTGCGCGTTTTCTCTCGTGCTATGCGCTGATGGCGCGGAGGTGCGCACCCTACGTCCGCGGGCAATGGTCACCGTGCCCAATCACAGCAATACAGAGGAGCAGATAGAGCCTAGCAAGTCTGTCACCCCCCGGCCAACATTCTCTTGTCCAACAAGGGTATGATGCTTTAGGATTCCTAGGGTGTGGAAGTGGGAAGTGGGAAGTGGGATGTGCTGACTGGTGAAACTTCACGCACGTTGCGGTACAAAGGAAAAAAAAAAAAAAGTAAACCGTTATGGCAAGTCTTGGCGATTTCATTACTAGAAACACATACCAAGAGACTAACCTACATGTAACTATGGTTTACACCCTACCTGAGAGTATGTGTCTGGGCATCGGTGTATAGACATAGACATGTGGGGGGCAACACAAAACCTTGGCGCAACCTTGGGACTATCCTTGAACTATGCTCTGCCTACCTAATAAGGGTCTAAGGGGTGGCTATTGTCTATAAAGGACGCATCCCATTCTCTCGAGGAGCTTTTCTGATCTCTCTCACAAAAGTTCTTCTTTCTCTAACACAGACAAACAGCTTCCAGACAAAGCCAGAATCTTAAAGAATCGCAAAGTTCCCCGCTACTCAGACTAAACTCTATCGTCACCACCGACACGAGGTATAATATCTGCTTAGCATTTATACTATCTACGGATACCCCCCAATATTCTATCAACTACTTCTATATACTCTATTATCAACAACTACATCTTCAACAACAAGATGTCTTCCAACAACCAGAGCATTGCCCAGAAGGTTCGCAGCAGCCAGCCTCAGATGTTCCTATCTTTGGCTCCCACTACCTCTGCCTCTTACCCTACTGCTCAGAGCATCAAGCCCGCCCTCCACGCCCGCCGCAGCTCCAGCCAGAGCAGCGTCGGAAGCGTGAGCAGCCTGCGCTTCCTTAAGCTAGGCCCCGTCCACTACGGCGAGCACCCCGGTGAGCACAAGGAAGACTTCCACGAGGTCGCCGTCGAGTAAACCGGTTGCTCCCCTAGGGAAAACTTTTCTGTTCCATCACTGTTTCGTTTTTCGCAAACTAGGAGAAAACTTGGACATGGCGACATCATGGCTAAGCTTCACGACATGAAAACAATTTATGACGATCTACATTATAGCGTGCACACCCGATGGAGGGAGGTTCATTAAAGGAGGGTTGCGTCTGGTTCTGATTTCTTCTTCGTCTTCCGCGGGCGTCTTGGGGATGGGAATTTGCGATGGATTGGGGGAACGGGTTTGGAATTAACACGGATTGGATAGAATATTGCCCAGAGTGCATACTTGGTGTTACGAACCGTACGCACGCACACCTTGATGGGTGCGGATCATAAAAAAAAGAGGGTAGATCCCTTGGCGGTTATTTGCGGCAAATTGATGCCTATCTCTCTATATACACTAGCATCGTGTTATGTATGCAGTTGGCGCTTGATATAAAATACACAGTATTTTCCAAAATCCCAAATAAAACGGTTCGATTTTCACATGTAGAAAGAGAAATCATATGTCCGAAAATCTAGTACCCCCCTTGTTCTCTGCACGAATACGTAGATTTTAGCCAGTCAGGGGACTAGCCAGCCATGTTGCCATGTGCGCTAGACTACGTCTGAGGTATCAGTAGCATTAATCGTATACACATACATGGGCCCCCTCCTCCCCTTTGACGTGTCCTAGCTTTAGCTTTGTAAAGAATAGTGGGATGGGAAGGTCGCATATACCATCCGCAAGCAGTAAGAGGATGAGTAGGTCGTTCCCCATGGCATATTTTTTCTCCAAAAAAACATCAGTGCAACTCATGATTGGTCCGAGCTGACACAAGCTCGCCCGCTTATCCCTTGCTCTTCAAAATAAGCTCAAGGCTTCCAGAGTCTAGACAATCAGACTTGTGATGAAATGTTATTTGATGTAGGTATGCTTTTTCATTAGACGCATGTATCCATCCATACCCGATGATGACCGCATTCTCAGGTCGTCGATCTCCCTTCCCCTATTACAAGATAAATTACAAACACCACAGCCAAGCGAAAACCAAGACGGGATTTGCGAGGACTTGGCGGGGGGAAAGCTACGTAGGTAGGTAGGTAGGCCAAGGTAATATGTCATAGGTATTATTAGTAGCATTAGTAGCATTAGGGGACAGGATACGGAGTTAATATTGTCGATCTAATACCGTATTTTGACGGACCCTTTATCCGCTATCATGGACTTGACCCACCGTCGATCTGATATGAATGCCTTAACCAGCCTTGACTTATCCAATCTTAGCTTAGACTTAGATAAGTAAGCTTTCAAGATCCTAGCTTTAAAAAGCTTGGACAAAAAAGCCAAATCGCTCAGGAGTATCACAAGCTTTGTCTCCATTCTAAAGATCCATTCTAAAGATAACGCTTCCAAGTTTGAAACTAAAATCTACACTACAATCTAATATACCAAGCTGCCAAGATTACCAAGCGACGCTTGGCTGGAATGTTTTGTTTTACATGGCATTAGTTACTCGCTGCGACGTCTCATTGTTTCTTTTTCTTTTTCGGATAGTCGTGGAAACGAGGCGAAACGTTTCAACGGTTGAGATAGCCCGTTTCTTTCTTACTATTATTAGGAGTGTATACACTATGCTACAAAGTATACCTAGCGTATTATATCTTAGTAAATATAGATATAGTAGGTATAGTAAACTGATATAATAAAATACCCACACGTATAATAGACTAGGTACACAGTGTAGTAAAGCATATCCCGATCGTCATAAGAGGCTGAGATATATAATAGCCCACCGACTTTCGAAACGACAACAAACAGTATACAACGTACAAGCGAGCTTATACATACATATACTGATACATTAACTATACAGCTATATAACACATGTGCATACGCTAATATTTATGTAGGCTGTACAATTAATGCCGGCATGATCCCTACCATCGCAAGGTTAAACGGGCTGGACTTGTCCCGTCTCGCTACCTTATCCACGGTCTTGGTGCTCGCCTTATCCTCTTTCCTTCCCACCCTCCATCATCCATCATCCATCCCCCGCGTCGACGCGCTTTGCCACACTACATATACCTACCAATATACACTACCACTATTACAACCACACACGCGCATACATTAGGGTTTAATGACGATACGAGCAGAAGCAGAGGGAAATGTGATGAGCAAGTGCCTACCCCCCTTCTCTACTCTTCCTCTCGTTCTCGACAAAGGTATCCAATCGAGCATCAAGTCACACCTACATTATTGCTTATCTTGCACGTTTTCCTCGGCTGCCTACCGAGCGGCTTGGAGAGGTCTTACTCTGCACGTGCGCAATTGATGAGATGGATGGGGTGAGAGCAAGGGGGGAGGGTTGATGCGGGTGGTGCAACTTGAAGGCGAGATCGCGTCGAGACCTGCCTGGGCTACACTCTGTCTTACGATAGATTGATTGAATGAATCGCGCATACGTAATTGTTGGAAGAAATGGTAGCTTACTGGTGCATTTCTTCTGACACGAGCTCATATTTTAGGTCCCTTACTTTTGTCGCCTTGGGGATTTCGCCTTCAATAAGCTTCTCGAGTTCTTTCACAATGACGGGAGCACATGATGAGCGGTATTATATTATCCCTCTTGTTGATGATATACACTACCTAGGTAGGTTCCTACATAATATACGGACAACCACCTTTAAGTCCGGGTATATACGCCCACGTACGTATGTAGGATGAGACCGGGGATCTGTGTGTACTACTCATCAATCTGTTCATTCAGACCCTGCGGGATTTATATGAAATGCTGTATGATGAGTGCAGCGCAGCGCAGGGTAACATGAACTTAATCAGCCTAACGAATAAGAATGTGGCGATCCTAACGCTTCGCTTTTTCTCTCTATATGAGCAATTCTATCAAGTTGCGGGGTTCTACACTGGGTTTTCGATCCCTTCGCATGGGGCAATGATGAAATAAAAGACAGAGGACGAATCGCCAGATGATGTACTAATGTATAGACGCAGCCAGCTAGCTTAAACCCGTGCTCGTGTGACTGCGTTAAATGAAGATAATTCGCTAAATCCGGCAAAAGCAAAGGAACCTTATGGATGGAATCCCAAGACTACGGTAACTCGTCCCCTACATAACATCTTTTAGGTAGCGCAGAGGCGTAGAGGGACATGACGTATGAATTTTTGCTTATTAATAGAGCATTATTGGCAGGCATTCCCCAGACCCCAAATCTACCTACCTAACCTAAATAAAATCTAATAAAAGCACGCTACTAGCGATAAGCATTAGGTATTTTGTACTTGTAAGTTGTAACTAAGCTGAATTGTCATCAGTATCGAGGCATTAAATAGACATCTTGAATGTCCAATCTGCACATCGATGTTTGCCATCCGCTAAAGATATCAAGAAAATGACATCGGTAAGGTAGGTACCCAAACATTAATGTGTAATGCGGATGGCTTATTACGCCCGTTCTTGATTAAACGTATCTCTAAGCCCTTCTCGGCGTACGCAAACGCCATCTTAATAGAAAAACCCGTATTACTATGCTCGGAGATTCTGTTAGATTCTGTTGAGATGCCCAGACGGTTGTGTTACGTGTCCTCCGCAACAGGGCGAAATGCCTGGATTATGGTGCGAGAGACAACACTACTATATCTTGCTATATATTGTACCATGTAAGCACGGGGTAAAGAACGTGGACGGTTAGCATGCCGATGGAACTACCGCAGCGGCAAGACAGGCTGGCGGCAGGAGGCTTTTCTCTCGGCGGGGCGGAGTCCGCGATACACCGCTCGAGGAGCAATTGTGCCAAGTTGATACCAAGAATACCAAGAGTACACAAGACGGGTTTATGCAAGTCACACAAACATTGGTGGGTGTAGCTTGTCTCGATTCGTCTATATCTACTCTGATAATCTGAATTCTGAATACCTATAGGTAGGTTGGACGATTTAGGTATGATTTAGACCTTATTACCCATCGACTCTCTCCCCCCGAGCGTGACACATCTAGTTAGCCCAGGTCGCTTGCAGTCGATACATAGAGGAGCTGGCAAGCTTCTAGGCTTCGAGGTAGGTGAGACTTGGCGCGGTGGCGTGCCGGGGCAAGCTGAAGCCATGTCTCACGGATACTGAGCGCGGGTGATCGACAGGGCCTTGCTCTAGTTTCTACCAAAGGGAGTACCGACACTAGAAGGCCGCTTGGCGAGCTTGGCTGCATGTTCTATCTGCGCTGAATCTACTTGGCAAATTTGAAAGAAAGTAGTTTTGCGCTGTTTCCTGTTTATAATGTATATTATTGACGATATTAGGTTGCAGAAAAGTCCGAAGTGTAACCGTAAATAGTCATAGCGATATATGCCCTGTTGGTCCACGAATGGAGTTCAAAAGTTTATAAGGGGCTGAGCTATGATGGCTAAGTATTCACTAAGCAACATAGATGATGAGATAGCACCGACGAAGGTTATATTTCTCGGTTCCCGCCGGTGTAAATAGACCTTGTAATTCATAGTAGGTGCTTAATAAACGCACTAATTTGACTTGATCTAGCGTCTGTTGACTGGAGACCCCTCGGCTGGAACTTAGTAATGCCACCGGATTAGAGATGGGTTGTCGACTTACGCGGGCCTATTCTGATTTATTAAAGCCAAGCAGTAGTAAAGCATCTGCCCCACGAATGTTTCACTCAAATTGCTCGCCCTGCATAGTCGAGGCCATCTCAATAGGTTCGTTCACCAACTCTCATGATCTTCTGACCGGCACCATACATCTCGACCATAGCTCTCCAATTTAGTGAAACCCAATCAGGACCGTTCCTCAGAATGGCTAGGCCTTGGTCATCGATCGATTCAGAATCTGATTTAATATCCATTCTGATATCTGTCTTGATCGATGAACTTGTCTTCCGGTGAAACGGGCAGAAGACGGTGAGATGAACTTTCCAGGCTAATAACTCGACTTTTTCCAAATAAGGGTCGGCTAGAAGTCTCAGCAATGCTTGGAAAGGGGGCCGTTGTACCATATCCGGGTCAGGAATTCTATTTGCCCCACGCCAACTTGGTGGCCCCATACGTAGCCTAAGCTCTCGCAAGCTTCCACTAAGAACCATATCGGAGAGAGCAGGTCCCAGGACACGCTCAAACTCCCCACCTACCCTCGTAAGGTGAAGGGTCAAGTTGCGCACTCGTCTCCGAGCATCCTGTCCCTCTTCGCTGAGAAATCCTCCCCGACTAGTGAGATGTACGGGTAGCCGGTGACTTTGCGCGTTCAAGGTGAAGCGGTTTTGAGAGTAGAAGATGGCAGATGCTTCTTGGTACATCTGCATATTGACAAGGAATACGTCTAGGAAATATGCAGAACCAGAGACCGATGTCGATGGGGCGAAGAGAGTTGTGTTATGAAGTATAATGGGGAAGTCTGAAACGAGGAGGTGAGAAAGAATAGCATCTCTCAACTCAGGTGGGAGGTCAAGGAAGCGGAATGTCTTGCTCGCCGCCGCCATCGCTTTGATCAGCCCTGAAGCTGGCTCTTATGTAGATGGCGTTGACGTTGGTATTCGTCAAGCAAGGGGGAGATTTCCAAAGAATCACCACGTTACTGCTTAACTCTTGTTCTATAGAGTGTTAAACATTCGACATTAATCGTGAAATCCATTCGCTATTTCTTTGTTAACTGTAAAACTATTGTCATGGTCGATCATTAGGTGATTTGAAGGTCTACGGTTTCGTAACCCTTGGTAATTTGAAGATGCCACAGGAAGGAATTTGCATCATTCCTCTGTCCATTGAGTACGCGGTTAATATGTTGATTAGGTACCTAAGTTATAGCATATCTGGGGTTATTCAAGATACGCGTGTACGAAATGAACGATGTAGACTTATGGTTATATGCATATATTCCATAATGTACTATCTTATCTATATCCTAGTATGTAGCTGCATGCAAGTCGCACCGTACCTAGCTTAGGCCTTGTGTAGCGCGCTTGAGCTTCAACTTTCCCATCAACCATTTCTATTATTACTGCTTTTATAACATTTGCGCCTTACCAACTTTACTCCCGTTAACATCGCGTCTGAAATGAGGAAAAAGGGTCGAGGATGCAGTGCTATACGGAGCTGACGCCGCCTACGGCTGTCACACATTCCTTATATCTCCCATTCATTACGGCGCAGAGCAATAATCTTGTTGTCGCAAGAGCTTCTCTACTTCAGATCTTTACTACTAAATCAGTATCTGCCGAACTCGACAAAGCACAGAACGCCCAATTGCAATCTTCTAGATTAGCTGACCACTACGATTCTCGAAGCAATGACGATGATGGCCTCGAAGCCTCCTTTCTTGGCGGCGATTCCGTCCTAGTCAGGTCTGACCGTTCGAACTATACGAAATTGGTGCTCGTTGCCGAGTTCCCACTGGCTGGAACCATCACCGGACTTGCGCGCATAAAGACTGATACAACTGCGTCGGGCGGTGAAGCCCTCTTGTTGGCGTTCAAGGATGCGAAGCTTAGCATGGTTGAATGGGACCCAGAAAAGAATTCGATAAATACCACCTCGATACACTACTATGAACAAGAGGATCTTCAAGGAAGTCCATGGGCTGCACCTCTGAGCCACTATGTCAATTTCCTAGCAGCAGACCCGGGTAGCCGGTGTGCTGCTCTGAAGTTTGGGGCGCGGAGTCTTGCTATCATCCAATTCAAAGTTCAAGAAGAAGACATAGATATGGAGGACTGGGACGAAGATTTGGATGGGCCACGCCCGGTAAAGGAGGTTTCCACTACGCTCCTAAATGGAACTAGCAGCAATGAAGAGACACCATATTCAACATCGTTTGTCCTTCGACTGCCAAATCTTGATCCTAGCCTCATCCACCCTGTGCATCTTGCGTTTCTTCACGAATATAGAGAACCCACGTTTGGCATACTATCCTCAACTTCGTCCCCATCTTCAGTCCTCGGTCGAAAAGACCAGCTATCGTACATGGTATTCACCTTGGATATCCAGCAAAAGGCTTCCACAACCATCCTGTCAGTGACAGGCCTCCCACAAGACTTATTTCGGGTAATCGCACTCCCCGTGCCGGTTGGTGGTGCCCTTCTAGTCGGTACGAATGGGCTTATACATATCGACCAATCTGGGAAGTCACATGGAGTGGGCGTCAACCCATTCGCAAAGCATACTACCTCTTTCAGTTTGGTCGATCAAACCGAACTTGGGCTAAAGCTAGAGGGCTGTGAAATCGAGGCTTTATCTGCTGAAAATGGTGAATTTTTGATGGTCCTTAGTGATGGTCGTATGGCAGTTATCACATTTAGAGTCGACGGTAGAATCGTATCGGGACTAAGCCTTCGGTTAATCGCTCCAGAGGCCGGGGGTGCTATCATACCAACTGGTGTTACGACCTTGAGCAAATTAAACAAGTCCTCCCTATTTGCAGGTAGTGATGGTGCTGACTCGTTAGTTATCGGCTGGACACGTAAACAGCCACAGGCTGGAAGGAAAAAGTCCCGTCTACACGACCCTTCTCTAGACCTTGACTTGGATGACGAAGACATGGAGGATCTAGAAGATGACGATGATTTGTATGGCGACGACTCCGCGCCGGCTAAACAATCATCGAGTTCTGCTGGAACCCCAGGCGGCAAGTCTGGTGAGCTCGTCTTTCGTATACACGATCGGCTTGTCAGCATTGCGCCTATCAGGGATTTCACACTCGGACAGGCAGTATTATCTAATAAGGAAGAACAGAATAATCAGGATGGTGTTACTAGTGATCTCAGCTTTGTCGGCGTCTGTGGTCGAGGCAATGCCGGCTCGGTTGCTATAATCAACAGAGAAATACAACCGAAAGTCATTGGACGTTTTGAGTTCCCAGAAGCAAGGGGCTTCTGGACTATGGCCGCGCAGAAACCAATACCAAAGTCGTTACAGGGTGATAAGGGAACTACGTCCATGGGTGCTGAATACGAGACTTCTGTCCAGTATGACCGTTTCATGATTGTGCCCAAGGTGGACTTGGATGGATACGAGACCTCAGATGTGTATGTTTTGACGGGTGCTGGATTCGAAGCGTTAACCGGAACGGAGTTTGATCCAGCTGCTGGCTTTACTATTGAAGCCGGTACTATGGGTAATCATATGAGGATTATTCAAGTTCTTAAGACTGCTGTCCACTGCTACGATGGAGGTATGAACGTCTCTTGTCTCAAATTGAACAACTACTAATATAGACAGACTTTGGGCTTACTCAAATCCTGCCAATGCTCGACGAAGAGACAGGTGCAGAACCCAGGGTCGATTGTGCTAGTATAGCCGACCCTTTTATATTCCTAGTTCGAGACGATGCAAGCGTATTCATTGCGAAGATAGATAAGAACTTGGAACTCGAAGAACTTGAAAAGGAAGACACAGCCCTCAACTCGACTAAATGGGCAACGGGTTGTTTATATGAAGATAGATCTGGCGTATTCTCCGAAGCCCAGACGGATAAGGGCGCAAAATCTGATGAAAATATAGTAATGTTCTTACTCAGCAAGGCTGGTGCTCTACATGTATGTGTTATGTCAATATTCCCGATTCCCGGTTTTGTTGCTAATATATCTAGGCGTATGCATTACCTGATCTCTCTAAACCTATATACGTTGCAGAAGGCTTGCCCTTTGTACCGCCACTCCTTTCAGCAAACTATGCTGCTAGACGAGGAACTGCCAAGGAAATTATCAAGGAGATATTGGTTGCTGACCTTGGAGACATGACTTCCTCGTGCCCGTACTTGATTGTGAGTTTGCACGATCCTCTAATCTACAGTCCAGCATTACTTATTATGTCTAGGTTCGCCACGAGAATGATGACGTGACGATATATCAACCCTTTCGTACACCTTCAGCTACTCCGCAGGACCTTTCTACAACGCTTCACTTCCAAAAATTACCTAACCCTGTCTTAGCAGAAGACCCAGTTGCGACAGCAGATGATGATGACGACGAAATAAGAAAGGCTCCTCCGATGAGACGATGTGACAACATTGCCGGATATAAAACTGTTTTCCTCCCCGGCAGCTCTCCAAGTTTCATTCTTAGATCATCAAAGACTTTGCCTAAGGTCCTGAGGTTACGAGGCGATGGAGTTCGAGGAATGAGCCCATTCCATACTGAGGGCTGTGAGAGAGGGTTCATATATGCAGACTCGAAGGGCGTTGCGCGTGTTTCTCAGATCCCGGTTCGCAACAGCACATATGCTGAGATAGGCTTGGCTCTCAAGAAGGTACCTTTAGAAGCCGACATGCACTCCATCTCTTATCACCCTCCATCAGGCACCTTTGTCGTTGGTTGTGATACCTTAGAACCATTTGAACTACCAAAAGAAGATGACTACCATAAAGAGTGGCAGCATGAGAAAGATCTCGCTTTTAAGCCTTTGGTTGAACGAGGTCAGGTCAAACTAATAAATCCTAGCAGCTGGACCGTTATTGACACTATCGAGATGGAGCCATGCGAGACAGTGATGTGCATCCAAACGCTCAATTTAGAAGTCTCCGAGTCTACTAATGAGCGAAAACACCTTATTGCCATCGGTACGGCTGTATCCCGTGGCGAGGATCTTCCTGTTAGGGGTAGAGTTCTGGTGTATGATGTAGTAACAGTCATTCCAGAGCCAGGAAAGCCCGAAACAAACAAGAAATTAAAATTTGTAGCAAAGGAAGACATCCCTCGCGGCGCGGTCACGGCCATCTCTGAGATAGGAACTCAAGGTTTAATGCTAGTTGCCCAAGGGCAGAAGTGTATGGTGCGCGGTCTGAAGGAGGATGGCACCCTTCTACCCGTTGCATTCATGGACATGAGCTGCTACGTAACCGCGGTTCGCGAACTTAAAGGAACTGGTCTCTGCCTCATGGCTGACGCGGTCAAGGGAGTATGGTTTACGGGCTACACGGAAGAGCCTTACAGGATGGTGCTCTTTGGAAAGAGTTCTACTAGGCTGGAAGTATTAACGGTAGACTTCTTACCAGATGGGGAGGAACTTCTCATAGTAGCCTGTGATTCTGATGGCGGCGTTCATATTCTCCAGTTTGATCCCGACCGTAGGTCTTCCCCTCATATCCCCTTTAACCATACCATAGACCAGAGCTAATAACATAATTAGATCCCAAGTCCCTACAAGGCCACTTGCTCCTTCACCGCACTACATTCTCCGCCGGTGCGCACCCTCCTACGCGTAGCATGTTACTCCCACGCACGCTTCCGGCAGACTCGGACTATCTCTCTCAGCACGTTAATGACACCCCGGCCGATGACGATTCTCTTTATTCCCCAGCACCACCCTCTATCCTCCTCCTCGCCTCCCCCACCGGCGCCTTAGCAACCCTGGCACCCCTCTCCGAGCCCCAGTACCGTCGCCTGTCTTTACTAACCGGCCAGGTTCTCTCCTCCCTACCGCACTATGCTGGCCTCAACCCAAAGGACTACCGCGCTCCCACTTCCACAGGCGTAGTAGGTCGTCTACCACCCGGCGTCGATGCGGGTATGGGCCGCAGCGTCGTAGATGGCGCCCTGCTCACACGCTGGAACGAACTCCCCGCCGGTCGTCGCGCCGAGATCGCGGGACGTGTTGGATTCGCGGGCGTTGATGAGGCGAGAGATGTGCTGAGGGAAGTATTGGGCGCGAGTGGATTGGGATATCTCTGAGTAATTGGACTATTGGTTGTGTAATAATACTAGGGACCTATTTGCCTTGCCATTAGTTAGATAAACTTCTTCGCAGAAGTTCTGGGTGGTGTTGCAGTTGCCTATCATGTAGCTATCAAGTTGGCTTAGAATCAATCAGCTTTGCAGTTTTTGCACGAGTAGGACATGAATTAATTCCTTTGACGCAGGGCTAAACTAGGTACCTAGATTGCACATCTTGAGATATTTGCTTGCCTGTGAGTGTTCCACTTCACGTTTGCGTTAGAGATAGGTAACTTTTGAATTGTCCCCCCTGAAGGGTTCGTATGATTCAAAGGTCCTTCTCCATCGAACTCATTCTGCCAGTTAGCCCTCGTCCTAACCCGTATGCATATCCTGCCAATCGTAATTATCCCGCATTTCTGCCTTGCTATGCTGAAGAAAAAACAAACCGAACAAGCCAAGCCAAATCTCTAGTCCGCCGTTCATATTTCCTGAGGCCCAGATGCCAGTACCAGTGAAATCCAGGCGCAACTGTTTTCCGTAGTTCTCCTCCTTAAAAAAAACCGAAATGCCGCAGTGACAAACCAACCACCGCCGGTTAGTTACTCCTTCGAGCCTTGTCCCTATCTGTGTCTTCACGTTGTTCATGATGCACACAGACGATGACAGGTACTGGAAAATAAACACATTCCTATCCAGCCCTTTTCGCAACATATTAGAGCCGCAAAACTAATCCTTAGGTGTGATCACCTCGTAACTTCCCCTGTTCCCTTTCCATCCATCTTAGTCCATGTCCTGCACATGTGCAAAACTGAAAACTGGACTCTCTCATATGGAAGAGAAGGGGGGGCTTCGTTCCTCGTGAATAAACAAAAACGCAAGAGAAAATCATTCCCGGCGCAGTGGGTGCCAATCCTATATAGTAACGCCTCGAGAAATCAGATCATAATCGAATCAGTGACATAAGAAATCCTTCCGATCGCAGGTCAACCTAGTAATATCGGTGCAACTCGTGTCGGCGACAGCTGCAGACCAAATGATCAAACTAGGATATACCTAGTATCTAGATGTCGTCGTGCTTGCGTCGAATGCTGCCAATACGGCGCTTGATGCCGTCACTAAGTCGCTTCCCTTTGGGGCTACGAGAAGGTCCCGCCGATTCCAGACTAGTGCTTCGTGGTCGGACAGCAGTGACGTCACCACCCTTGCCGGCTGTTGCAGTGCTGCGACCTGTGGGCTGCATCTCGAAGGCACCAGGCTGACCGAGCGATTTGCGCTGTAGATGCTTCTTGCGCTTGAGGTCTTCCTCGATAGTGTATGCGGGCTCACCTTTGCCCTTTAGGTCGTCGGGATGGTACTTCTATTGGCATGCTGTTAGCAGGACTGACTGGGTTTATCTGGGGAGTGTATGGGAAGGAGAAAGAACTTACAATGTGATCCCATTGCTTGTATGGGCCACCAGGAGCGTCTTCCTCGCGCATGAGATCGGCGCCCTCTTCGTAGTTCATGATGCGACCGCCGTAGTCTAGTTCACCTGGCGGAATTGTCGCCGTGCCTTGTAGGGGGACATGACGCTCTAGAGAATCGACGACATTCTCTCGGGGGGTGGCCTTGAGAGCTTCCATGTTGCCGTGCTTGACGGCTTCCACAGGAGCGTATCGCTTATCGCGGTTTCGGGAGGCAAGCGTGGCGTCGTAGGGACCGTCATGGTGGTAGATTCCGCCGAAACCGGTTGTGTCAAGGGCATCTACAATGTCTGCACCAGTGCGGTTCTTCTTGGGAAGATGAGGGGCACGGTCGGCGGCCTTTGTGGCTCGCTTTATTGCTTCAAGAGGTCGCTCAGACATCTTCTTCAAATAAGCATGGGTGTAAGAAAAAGCGGTTCGGACACGAAGCTTGAACTTTTTAATAGTAAACCGCTTTGGTTTAGGCTTAAGCTTCGGACTTGGGGTCTCTGTCTCTGAACTAAGGTTGTTTGAGGTTGAAGGGGATTCCTTAGGATCTGTGTTTGTTCCGTCTTTCTTAGTAGATTTAACAGCTTTCTTCTTTATATATTGTGTAGTAAAAGACTCAGTCGACTTTTGTGGTGCAACTCTTGCAAATAGCTGATATGGTTCAGATGCAAACTGCAAACCAAAAACCTCGTAGCTAGGCTGATATAAATTCAAAGGATTAGTAAAAAGATCTCATGTCAAGTCAGAAGTCAGAAGTCAGAGTCCGAATCCTGCAACACGCGCGTTCAAGACATGACTATGATGTAACCGGCGAAAACCGAGCGGGTCCTTCCAAACTTCCAAAGTACATCCATCCAAAGCTCATCCTGTCGTCTCCCGCTCTTGCATGGATGCATACCCCTGCTCGACCCACTCGTCGATGTTAGCGTAAGGTATGACGTATGCGACAGGGGTAGCTCCAAGGTGACATCGCAAACGCAAACGGTTGGCGATCACGATCAGCAAGAACGACGACTTGTTGTTGAAGTCGTACAAATAACTCCAGTATAAATAAATACTCGTGTCAATATGTCACTCCTCGGCGATATATATCACGGACAAATAGTATATCAACGTGGTATAGGTAACGCATGTGGTTGAGACAATTCACATTGGTTATTGTTTGGTTCACAAGATCTCGCGACACAGTATAGCAGACACAACATAGCAGACAAGAGTATAACAGACAAAGCATCGCGTCACATAACATATACACGAAGAATCAAGTGTATTCATATATAGTAGAGATTTTTTGGGAGGGGATACACTCATTTATACTTACCCACGAATTATAGTCACCCATGGCGCCGACTGTTGATAGAGGTGAGTGAACTGTCTTGATGTTGTCAAGGTAAGGGGAGCGATGAGTATAGTAAAATCGCCGACCGGAAAAAAATGAACTGTGATGTTTTTGGGAAAAGGTAGCTTGGTTATGGGACGGCAAAAGAAATTTGGATGTTGTGGGATTTAAGGTCGCGAGTTGGAAGGGAGAAACAGAAGGCAGGCGACGATATGAGTAATAAGAAGGAGCGAAGTAGGGACGCTATATCGTAATCACTGTAATCACTGTAATCACTGTAAATGAATTTAACTTTTGCTACTGAACCTTCTCAGGGCAATTAGGGCTATGACAGATAACCTTATTTCTTCAAAGGCGCTATGACAAAAGAAGTAACCTGCGAATCTTTAATTCTTGATTACCTCCAGGAATGATATTAGAAGACAAGCATTAAAAGTTTCCCTTCTTATCATGACCTATAAATGGGTATCTTTTAGGACAATGGGGGCATAGTTCCCAAATCATGTTTAACTGTTCTCTATTTTTTGGCCTTCCTATATCGTTTCTGCCAATATAAGTGCTGCCTTTGTCTTCAAGTTCTTTCCTACTTGGCAAGGCAGGCAGAAACTGACATTATTCTGCTCGGGAATTTGTTATAACAGCCCTGTCTTATACACAGCTGCATCGCCATTATATGTTGATTAACCTGTTCTCTAGGAATAGCCTAGGTTAGATAGAACTGTACTTTTTCTCTACACCAAGAATTTCTACTATAGAAGACCTAGTGGAAAATGCTCGAATCATAATTGTTAAAATAAGAAAAATTTCAACATACGTTTTAGTTTCCCAACATCTTTATATATCATACATGTGTTTCAACAGTCAATCATAAACATAAGTTGAGTTAGGTTTATTATAATAAACTTCGTGTTGTTGTATATTATCACGAGACCAAAAGGTCAATAAGGAAAACGATGATGTTCTGGGTTCCCCAGAACATCAAGAGCCTTGCAGCACGTTGCAAGACTATATATACATAAGGATCCAAGATACCTGACTCTTGACCGTGACATATATTATTAAAATGATAAATATTCAATAATAGTTAACCAATATTTAATATAAATACTTGTGGCCTTTAAATGAAGAACGTAAAAATGATAATATGTAAGCCTTTTTCTTATACTTATAGCTGTTTTTACAAAGCCCTGTATAATAGTAGCTTATACAATTAGCTATATAACTTGAAGTGTTACTACTAGTTATTATTACACCTAACATACTTCATGCTATATGTAACCTATACCATGTAAAGTTTAAATGATTATCTTATAACTAGGCAATTAAAGTCAGTTTTATATAGTTGTAAAGTGTTTATTTTATATTGATAGGAGTGTTAATGCCATATTACTGTTTAAAATAGGTATACATTAATATAGGTAGGTATATACAACTTCCTTGATTAAAATGGAACTTCATGGGGATGATTATATGAAACATGTATACACGTGTATAAAGAATTGTATATTTCGCTTCTATAGGTACTTTTTAGGAACCAGGTATGTTACATATGGAGGTACCCTGTCTACCTGCATATGCCCCCTCAGCCCTACAGGTTGCAGCCGCCGCTAATGCGGGCCAGGTAACACCAAAACGCCGAGACCAATGTAAAGGGGCACCGCTATCTCAAAACATGCTTTAAATATCCGTTGGTTGCAGCTAACGAAGTTCGATGATTGTACACCTATGTACCTAGTACTTGCAGACTTGCCAGACCATTGATTATTCTACCTCTTAAGAAAAGGAAAGGGAATACGGCAATGCTATAGCTTTTGGGCACATTGGTAGCTTAATGGCGTTGGTAGATTACTCTTCCTCTGACTCGGAGCCTGAAGCTGGGGAAGCGGCATCTGCGACTAAAAGGCAGAAGACATCGCATGGCGGGACATCAGTGGACTCAGCTGCGCTCCCACCGCTCCCCGATGCGTTTCACGACCTATACGCGTCTACCGTGCGGGTGAGCACATCCGACGACCCAACGCTGCATCAGGGCCGTAAACGCGTAAATCCGCATAGAGTCGGTAGCTGGCCGAGCCATCTATATATTGAGTGTAAGTTCATACATGCAGACCTTAGATCTCCGTACGAATAGCACGTACGAAGAAGATACCTGTTGCTTACCAGGTACTTATCCTGGACTGCATACACATCACTGACGAACTCCAGGGCATCCCACAACCCCCCAGCGCAATGCTCTCTCCACCTTGCTTTCAGATCTCCAGATAGCACTCACGCCGCTATCAGTGAGTATCACGTCCTTCCTGACGTCGGACCTAGACACTCCGCAGCCGCTGCACATCAGCCTATCGCGGCCCATCGTGCTGAGCACAGCGGAGAAAGATGATTTTCTAGAGCAGCTAATCGCACGTATCAAGAGCAGCAATGTAGAGCCTTTTGATCTCGCGCCACGGGGTTTGGAATGGCATCGCACGACTGAGTCAGAGCGCTCGTTCTTGGTGCTTAGGGTGGGAAGTTCTGCTTCTGCCCCGGAACCTGCTCCTGCCCCCACAGCTGGCGGAGAGGAGGATAGCAAGAGTAATGAACGGAAAGGAAAAGGTAAAAGGAAGGGGAAAGGGAAAGGAGGAGAAAGCAGCTCTAAAGCAGATACATCTACCGCCGACTCCTCAAATAACCCACCTCCATCTCCAACGCAGCAGCCGCATAACCCAGAACTAGCAGCGCTCCTGCAGCGATGCAACGTTCTTGTGCAAGAACACCAACAACCACCTCTCTACGCCTTCTCCGGCGGCAGCGACGACGCCTTCCACATCTCCATAGCGTGGTCCTTCGCCACACCCTCCTCCGACGTCAAGCGCCATACCGAGCGTGTATTCGCAGCCAGTCCGCAAGCCGAAGTGCTGGCGATGCGCGTTCCGGTGCGCGGTGTGAAGGCTAAAATCGGGAACGTGATTACGCATGTTGAGCTGCCGGTGCGTGGGAAGAGAGGGGTCGGGGAGGGATAGCTGGACTAAGAAGGACTATAGTAATGTGGGAAATGGTAAAGAACTTGGTTATGGATATTGAAGAGCAGATCCGGATAGCTCTTGCTTAGTTTGGTAACAAGGGAGGATACGAGACATGGATATATGTTTATAAATGGTATGTAATGTACTATTCTACCTTCACAAATAGTGATAGGACCTTAATTGTTATAGACATGATATAATCCCATTTCTCTTCTGCGGTCTGCAAATACCATCCTAACCACAAATCAAACGCCAAAAACTCCGCCTATGGATGCTAGCTTTATGCTATTGCTGGTAATTTAGGCACGTATACAAAAGCACCCAGTGACCACCTAACCCTAAACAAGTGCCGTTGATGCGAATCCGAAGTGTACAAACAAAGTTCTACAACTCATCGAGGCTAGGCCGCGCGAACCCCCAGGAACGGGGCGAGACGGGCAAACCGATGTAGAACTCCCAGAGGCGTTTTAACTCTGAGAGGATGATATAGGACCTATAACATATTAGCATTTCGATATGGGAGTTGCAGCAAATGTGATTCCGACTCACAATGTTTTTGGGAAAGCTACCCAAGATTTTATGACAATCTTAAATGCCTTGTATACCCTAGAAAGCTCCTCGTTGAATGCGTCACTTGCCGTCTCTGGGCTGCGGCGTTCCCCTTTAGGTGGCACGTTGTCTTCCTCATCCCACTCCTCCTCGAGCTCCGACTCGGCTTCTGGTGTTGATTCCTGTGTATTTTTTGAAATACCAACCGCATGTGGCTTCTTGGCCCTGTCAGGTATCGCCTGTGTGGGTTTCTCCTCAGCCTCCACCATGCCCCTGAACCCAACAAGAGCTTTCATAGAGCTGCTTAGTCTGGCATAGGTATTAAACAGCGCTACGAGTTCTGTTCTCTTCAACACCGGGATATCCTCGCTGTCGTTATCAAACTCGAATAATACCTTCAGCGCTGCACCGTATCCTGCAGTCTGCAATTTGCCCCATAGCCTACATTTATCGCAACCCACGCAGTCCATCACGCGGCTGACATTCCGGAACCGGTTCTTGAAATCCTCCTTTAGAGACGGACCCTCACCATTCTTAAACATGAGGCCCTCGTCAAAAATCTGAGGTACTGAGGCCGCACTCTGAGTTACAGCGAGGACTTTAGCCTTCGTAGCTGCATCCTGGTCTTCATCGCCAGTGCAGAACGTATAGCTCTGCAAGTGCGGGCCAATTTTGGCAACAGCACGGGTGACGAGAGCATAGTTGAAATACAAGTTGGAAATACGTTCAGGATGTGTATGTAATCTTCCTTTGTAACATCCTAGATTGGGTTGCCACTCGCCGGTAGTCTGGTTCAAGAAGTCCCAGCAAAGATGCGTACTAATGCTTGCGTGCATACCGGAGACGACACGGTAGAACACGCGCTTCTCCAGACACTCTCCTTCATTCTCTAACCCAGTCTGCGTGAATGTAGTGCTTGGATTTTGTTGATGCAATTGCAATATTTGCTGTCGTTCTGCATCTTGAAGCACATTGCGGAAGTCCTGTGCGGCTGGCCCTTCAGCCACAGGGCTGATGCCAAGGGAGGCAGAATGCGGGAACGAAGACTTCTGGAAACAATTCTCCCTGTAGATGGCGTCCCATACCATCTTGGCACCTTCGCCGGCGTATCCAGTGAAACGCTCAGGGTTGTGAACTAAACTAACGTAGTCGCCTTTGCCGCTTGCGCTTTCGTCCTCCGGTATGCAGTAATCCCGCTCGTCACATTCATCGTCATATTCCACTACACAACTCTCGCCTACGTTCTCTCCCAAGAGACCTTGCAGTGGCTTCTTCGGTCGCTCTTTTTGGACTTTCTTCCCGGGATGCTTCGCAGACGGACCCTCTAACTTGCTGAGCTCGCTTGCCCTCCATATCTTGGGTATGTCTTCCTCGTTATCTATTGTGTTTACTGCACAGGCTATATTGCCACACATGGCATTTTCGTCGTTCCAGAAGGGGCATTTTTTATTAAACAGGTTGAGGCGGTAGTAGGAGAAGAAGTCGGTTTCTCTGGTTAGCTCGTCTAAGGCTGGTTTGACTTTACGGTTCAGTTTCTCGAGTGTGGAATAAGAGGCACAAGCGTCGGATACGATGGCGCGGGGCGAGATCTGGACAGTTTCATTTTCGTTAGAAATAATAAACTGATATTGAGATGTTGTCGCTGCCAGAGAACTGGCAGTAAGACATAGATAAATAACCACGTTGCTCAATGAAGGCGACATACTGCGCATGAATCATCTCGAGCTTCTCTGCTCTTACATTGCCCAGGTGTCCCCCAAAGCGCAAAGAGTGACAGGTAGAAGAGTTTCGCGGACTTCATAACGGCGGAACCGTACCGGGTATATAGGTGGGAGGAATGGATGGACACCTAATTATTATTAGATTGTGAGGAGAAGACAAGACAAGGTCTGGTCTTTCTTCTCTTTTTCGGTATTTGATTAAAAGAATACGTATAATATAAGTTGGTAAGGTGGTAATATGGTAATGTGTTAAGAAACTCGGAGGAGCAACTCTGATACGCTGCTACGGTTAAATTCCAAGTAGCAACTACCTAGGGATAGGTACATAATATCATGTACCTAATGTATAATGCAAGTATGAGGTACAACCTTAGAGCCACCTAACTTTTAACTTTTAACCGACATATAGGTAACTTTCTCAATATTTCTCGTTGGAACTTGATAGAAAGCGAGTCTCAATAATTATGAAAACCGTACAAAATAGAATAGAAAATATTATACTCATATAACATCTTTTATTGATAAAACTGCCAACGTGTTCACTTTTCAACGTCATACGATTGTGGTCTGTAGATAGGCCCGTATTGATATTGACCTTTTTTTAAACTACGGATAATAGAATGTTGCCAGTTTGCATTGCCCCAGGGTCCATTTGTTGAGTGATACCTACATGTATTACTGATGATACATTGACGTACCTACCAGTCTGCCTGTCTTCTCTGTCAGCACCTGGGCACTGCCCTGCATGTGCTAACCTATGCTAACCTAATTGGCAGCTCCCGTGGTGGAGGTGCCTAGTGTATTATGGGAAGTTCTAGAAACGGTAGCCCGGAAGCTTCCACTCGTCTGCAACCTGCCGATACCTCGTACCTGGTCACACAGAGAACAGAGTGGAGCGATGACACCTGCATCTAACACTAGAGTCTTTATTAATCTGTACATAGGTATCTTATGTTCGGTACGAATTCTAATATCACTTAACACTATGTATTGCCTTGGTGTCCTTTGTGATAACTTGCCACTTCAATGTTCTTATGTGATTCATACCTATGGTACCAAACTTGTTCTCTCGGAGACTATTCATCGTATGTTAAATAGATTAAAGAGTATTGTTATTAATTAGCAAACCCCTTTCTACTTGAATCTTATTTGGCGGAGGCCACCGTCTGCGATATACTGCAGGATCGTGGTTGGCTTACCAGTCATCCCGCAGCCAAGGTTCAAAACCCTACCTGCCTAGACCAGTAAGAAATCCAGATAAAAATAAATGTCCGGGAACAGCAAGTACGCAGATAAAGTTAACCTGTCCAAGATCTCAGCATGTTTACCTATTCAAATCGTTACTGTATCTGGTAAAGTTAAAGCTCTTCCTGGTATATTCTATTATGTATTGATGTCCATGTCCCTGTCATGCAGGCATCACCGCGTTTGTTAAGAGGTAGATTATCATAATCAAACCGCAACTATTAACAGTTTTCCTAATTAATATCATGATGCTCTCTATTCATTCAAGTTCCTATGGATCTCTATAACCCAAAGGCAACCGACCAATGTGTGGCTATTTATGTCCTAATAGGAATAGAGCGCGGGCTCGAGAATCTAATTCCTTATAATCGGAGTATCCGCCGCCACTGCAACAGAGTCGCTCAGGTCTCCTTCATGCCCTGGAATAGATGCCAATAACCACCATTCTCATCTGTACGTGTTTCACGCCGCGAGCTGTCGCATAGTTTTATGGCCTTCTAAATTTATGAACAACATCGACAGGGGAGAACAGCCCCGTTTGCGCCTCGGCGGGTCGAGCCAGAAACCAGATGGGTGAATAGAGTTGAATCGATTAAAAACGGCCATAAATCGTCGCGTAGCATTATCCTCTAACAAATGTAGATGTCGCCGTGCAGTGGATGGGCGTATCAAGAATAATTTACAACGATAGTCGAATCCCACATGAGGTAATAGGTCAGCGTCCATATTTGGATTGTTCATAGATCACTGAGGTGCTTGATAATTGAGAGGTCGCCTTGGCTAGGTTAATATTATTCAGCTAAGTAGATTGGATGTTGAAAAGCTTACTTAAATAATAAGATGTGTGGCTCTGGTTCGTGGACCTCATAGTGCTCCCAGCCTAGGCTCTGTAGTTTCGCGTCTTGTTAGTCCACATGACTACCACCATAATCAACAACACCAGAGCAACCTACCTGGGTAATACCGATCGCACGCCACTCATCTTCCCACAGCAGCTTCAATGTGCCCTTGGATGGGTCGTGGTAGTCCTTGGGAATGGCCTTTAGCATAGCTTTCGGCAGCTGAACATGACGGTATTCGTATTCGCTGTCTGAGTAGCTAATCCTCTTTGTTAGTAACACACTGTAGATCCTTGCACAACCGAATTGTCTTGTAACCATACCGAGCAGAGTAGTGGATCGAGTCGATGAATTCTTCCAGGCGCGCGCGTTCATCGTCGCTCAGAGGGCGAGGCGCCTTGTTGCGACGAGTAACATCAATATTCATGGGCATTATGGCTGGCGAAGTAATTAAGTCTTATGATAAGATTCGGAACGATAGCCTTCTAATAGTGCAGCTTGATGGGCACAAGAGCTTGCGCAGATTTCAGACGGCTATGCGTGTAAGAAGAAGTGAAGAGGGTGGGTGAGATTAGGTGTCGGCTGGCCGAAAATGTATGCTGTCGCGTGTGGAGGGGAAAGAGTAAAGACGCTCCCGTCGCTTGTCGCTTGTTGCTTGTCAGAGTGGATATGCGTCCTCCAACACTGCTGTGCGCGCAGATAAAACAAAATAATCAAACCGTAAAATGTTTGAAGAGTTACAGGCAAACTTTGAAGTAGCCTAAACGAAGAAGAAGAAGAAGTTACAACTTGAAGGTTGTAGAGTTATTAATATTTGGGAAGGACAAGAGCGCGATTCTTTAAAGGTTGAAGTTGCGGTCCCCAAATTTTGGTTGCATGGAAGATGGAAGTAAACAGTGCTTGAAGTGGGGGCCTTAATTGAGGATAAGCCACATCGAAGCAAAATCGTACCTTATCTGAGGGGCAGGGGCTGGCAGGACGACACTACTGTTTAAGCTGCTAAGGAATGGACAACAAACTATGACATAGGTACTTAGGTCCGTGCACTATTTCTTTTTTTCTTTTTTTAATCTGTGCTTGTGGCGCATTGATTTTGCGACAGTTCTGTTACCTAAGGTGAGGAAGGAGAGATCCGGGCTTCTTTGGTTGCTAGGGACGGCAAGCACTGACAAGGTCGCGTGTCAGCCAAAATTGGCAGCTGGCAGCTAGTGGCCTATTACTTTGAACGACCTAACGTTTTGCGCAGAAGCTTTCCCCATAATATTGCTATGCATCCGACGCCTTCCCAGGACGACTAGACATACACATATCGTATCAACTCTTTGCATTGCGATAATACTCGATTCTCCTTGGCGTTTATTTTTTAGTGAAGGATGTCCGTCTGCTGAGGTAATTCGGTTATTCTATATATCGATAGGTCTAACTTAGGTATTGACCAAAGAGGATAGGTAGAAAAAAAAGATTCCCTCTCCTATCTCCTATCCGTCTTACATTATTAGTAGCGGTACCAACAATCCGCGTCGGACAATCCACAAATCATCACCACCATCGCATCGCGTCAAAGGCCCTGCAACCCCATCATCCTAGCAGCTAAAAGCTTATTGACTTTTCCATTGATCGCGCAATACAGCAAGCTATAAGCTGCAACACCTCGGTTCGCTTCTGGATGCGCCTCCGATCCTTTTTCCGTCGCAGCAATGGATAATAAGAGGAAGGCTAGCGGTGCAAATGGCATCGACTCGTCGGCAAATGACTCTAATGACCGAGCTGCTAAACGTCGCAGACTAGTAGAGGTATGTTATATATTCCGAATCTCTATTTGACCTTCCACAGCATTTTGCGCGTAAGCCTTGCTGCAGCACGGCAACATTACCTACGTTAGGTTATTGTGCACCGTAGCTGTGATGCGATGCGATGCGATGCGAACCTGTCATGGATTATTTTTCAAAGATGAAAGATGAGAGATGAGATTTAGAGCTAGGGAGGCGGGGGTTTAGGACAAAAGTTACGAATGCTATTTAGATGCAACGACTTTTCTGCCGAACACCCTGTTCTCTATGCATGCTCACAACCTCGAACCTCCAAATTCTGCAGTTTTGGGGCTCTTGTTCCCCTATCCCCTTTATCTGTTCATTTCTAATTTAATTATTACTATAGGAATTCGGAGATCTCATGAACGGTGAGACCAAAGAATCAACTACTGCGTACGGATTAAATATTTTGGAATCAATCAGAGCCACTACCGATAAGAAGTATGCGCAGCTCTTTTATTATTACTCATATGCGATATATCCCTTCGACACCTTTCTTGAGCTTCATTATTAACCTGCACTTTACTTATTAGAGTGAACTTGCATTTTGTAAACAACGTGGCTAACTTCTTATCTATCACAGTGGCCGACCAGTTTCACCTTACTTTGAGAAGCTTCCTTCTCAAAGCAAGGATCCGGAATATTACCAGAAAATACGGCTTCCCCTCTCCCTAGAATCGATCGAGCAAAAGCTGAAGAATGGCGAATATACCAACTTATCTGCCCTTGAGAGCGATCTCAAGCGTATGGTTCAAAACGCGAAAGAGGTCAGTGAGCGCTCGTCTATGACTTTTGGCGATGCCGAACGAGTGCGTAAAGCTGTTAGCAACTTGATGACGAAGCACAACCCCGCGTATAAGACCGGCAACTATACCGCTGTGGCTACTCCACTACCACCAACCCCTGAGCCAGACGATAACGAAGGCGATGAGGATGCCGAGGGTGAAGAAGAGGAAGAGAAGGAGGCCAGCGTAGAGAATGTACAAACCAGTCGGGAAACCGATGCGGAGGAGGTAGCCCAAGACGAAGAAGCCGAAATTGAAGAAGTTGACGGTGAGGATGGCGAAGAAGATGAAGAGATCGATGAAGAGGATGAGGAGGCTGAGGAGGATGAGGAGGATGACGAAGAAGAGGAGGAGGAAGAGGAGGAAGATGGAGAAGATGAAGATGGCGAACCAAGCCCAA